ATATATATATATATATATATATATATATATATATATATATATATATATATATATATAACAAGTTATCATATTTCGTATAAACTGTAACAATACCGATCATAAATGGAACAAAAGTTATGAAGTTTACCTGAATTTAATGAAGCCTTTGTTATTTAATTCATTTTAATGGTTGTGTTTTTATAACACTTGGCTCAAAACAGAGCACTTATGAATTCCGCTGACAGAATTTGTTTTAATTCTTTAGGGAATTCCCCTTCATGTCTGTATCTTTTGTAGGCAACAAAGCTTCACACAACAGAAAACCTGTAGAAATTGCAATCTATGCTCTTAATGTTTAGTTGAATGAGATTATGTCCTGGTAAAAGAATTAAAGTCACCTACCGAGCAATAGTCTGAAATATATAGTACTGCTATGCCTTCCATGTTTCCTTTTCCCTCGGATTATAGGCCATTCAGCTTTATGTGCTGCAAATCTTTATTGCCTCCCGTCAACATGATTTCATTGAGTGTGCAGCTAAAATTACAGGGCTGACATTTCACAGGAAATCATGGCAGCCTGTAATCCTGAGATGACACTATGTTTTTCCATGTAGTAATGGCTGTTAACATAGCTATAAAGTGCATGCTGCATAATGGCTCCTCAGTGTTTAAGGCGGTGAGTTTGGACCACAACCATGGTGGCAGGGCGTGACAGCTGTGCAGCCCCAAACTGTGCTGAGGAATCAACAGGGAGAGAAGGAAGTGAATCTAACAGGATGCAACACTGAATATCTTGTTTGGATTCTTGCTCTATGTTTGTATCAGTGTCCCTGTAATAACATTTTGTGTGCAGCTGTGCTCAGCACATTTCCAGCTGTAGAAATTGTGTTTTCCTCATTTTATTGAGTCATATGTTTCAGCTAATTTGAGTCAGACTGGTATGAAATGTCATCTGTATGTGCTTTGTTCGCCAATGCTGGTAAAGAAGAGGAGAACGCTGGGAAGAAAGTTTGGATTGTGATTATTTAGATATCACAGTATGACACAACTCCTAACAACATTTTACTTTCTCCCAACTAAATTATTCTAAAGAGACAGATTTTTAAGAGTTAAACATTATGTAATTTATTGCTCTTTACCTCCTCTCCTTTATGCAGCAGCACCACAGTTTACCGTAACTCCACAGGACCAGTCGGTCTTGGAGGGACATACCGTGGATTTCCCCTGTGAGGCGAGCGGCTACCCAGCACCTCTTATTATTTGGACTCGGGGTGGAAGTCCTCTGACCTCGGATCGCCGCCAAGTCATCCTGGCGTCCGGTACGCTCCGCATCACTCGGGTGGCCGCACACGACGAGGGCCAGTATGAGTGTGAAGCAGTGAGCTCTGTGGGGACGGTGCGCACCACTGTACAGCTCAGCATCGAGCAGAGAGGTGAGGAAATACAGAAGGGCCAAAAATTTTTATTATTTTCATAAATGATCAAACACATAAACAATGTTAAAGAATTGCTTCAACACTAGGCATTAACTACAGGAGTTACCTTATAGAACATCGAGTAGCTGCCTTGGAACAACTGTGGGGTCTTAAGGTATAGTGGAGGATTTCTGCAATTCTTTTTAAAACACCTTCCCTCTCAACTTTAAGAAAAAAAATCTACATGAAAACCCTGTATCTTCTCCCTAGAGAGAATGCCTATTAAACATGTGTGAGAGCATGCAACACCCCATTTCTCCTCGAGGAGGTGTGGGGACGCAATGTTAAGACAGGCGCTCAGATGGACCTGATCTTACTCATATTTAGATATAAAAAGTTTCTGGTACATAAAAAAAAAAAAAATCATGACATGCTTATGTGTGTGTGTGTGCTGCAGTGGAAATTGTGAAATGTTTGCGGGGTAAATTAAGATCTGTAGCTACTGTATAACTACTAATGATGCAAAATAAATAAACGTATCTTTCCTGGAAAGTTACAATATAGAGGTAGATAACTGTCAAACGGGATAGATAGACCCAGTATTCAAGGTGAGATAGCCAATAGGAGAGTTTAAAATGTTTATTAAAACAAAATAGAACAGAAACTGGCTGCTGTGGATCTGTGGACCTGCAGCGATTGTGGGGAAAAGGGGGCGGGGCACCGCCCAATCACTGACAGTCTCTGGAGGAAGAAACACAGGTAAGTGACCATGATCATCTGACAGGAGATGATTGTCGGAGTGAGTCACTTACACGGTTTAATAGTTCAGTCCATTCTCTGCGTGGAAGGCAGGATCCATCCGATGGAGCGCCGAATGGGATCCAACCCAGAGCTGTCCAGGGTGTCCCTGATTAGAGCAGCAACCACAGAGAGCAGTCAGGTAACCGATCCAGGTCAGAACCAGACAGTTCTGAGATCCAGCAGTCCTCAGCTTGACAGAGGGGTCAGATCCACACAGGAATCGATAGAAACGGGGTTCTAGGAATCCACAGAGCTTTCAGTCAGAGTCAGACGGATGCAGAAGCGTGCCCACACAGACACGCACAGAAGCAGACATGCAGGGTCAGATGCAGACGGGCAGACTCAGTGGTAAGGGAAGCAGAGACGAGACGTGGTACCAGGATTTCAGCAGGACTTTAAACTGGTCTCCTCCTAGAAGCCAGGCTTATGGGAATAAAACTGACCCTCTCCGCGTTCCGTGCCGAAACCCTGAGGGCTCAGCGGAGAAAAGTCGCGACACGACCAGAGGACAAGACAAACACTAAAACCCTTTCCCTCAACTGGCCGCTGGAAACCAGGGCATGAACCATAGAATTAACTAAACAGACAAACTAACGGGCATAAACAAACAGCCAACAAGCATCAAACAAGGATCTGGCCGAATAGCTGGAACTGAGCCCAATTTAAAGGAGAAACAGCAGGTTGTTAAGATCAGTAATAATTAGAAAACCGGGCAGAGTCAGGCAGGTGAGTGAAATGAACAATTAAGGTGAGATGTCAGGGCAGATCATGACAATAACTTTTAATAGCAGTCATGTGAAATAGATTTGTCCAAATAGCATGCCAAACTTTACCTTTCTAGTAGAATGTTTGCAACCGAGGCATCAGTGGGGATCACAACCTGTGATTTCAGAGTACGCCATTGCATGAATCTCCCAAAAACACTCTGGTCTTGTCTCTCTTTTCTGAGGCCTTTTTCATCTTCTCATACACTTTGTAGACACTTTTCTCTTACGACCCTCGGCCATTTTCAAAGAATCATGGTGAGAAAGGTGAGCTTCAATGACTGTCTGAAACTGTAATACACCACATAAAAGTGCACATGCACAGAAAAAGATGGCCGACTGGGGACCGGCACGTAGGACGGCTTTACGTAAAATGGGAGGACCTCTTATTGAGATGATTGACCAGGAAAAAGGAAATCCTCCACAATACCTTTAAGAAAACAGACCTTAACAAATAACTTTGGTTGTATAAAACATAACCCTGTTGTTATTTTGATTTTGAAATGTACACTCAGCTAAAAGTTTGGCTCTTGAGTCTAGAAAGTGTGAGAAGCACTGTAACAGAGCATCACTCTGGCTCTAAGGTGATTAATGTTTCACAGGCTGCTTATGAAAGAAAGAAAAGCAGCCACTCAAGTGTAACACAAAACAACCATCTTTTCTTCCCTGCAAAATGCTCTATAGACAGACAGACTTTTATGTTGGTCTGTGATGGATTAATCATTAACATGCCTATGTGTGTATGTTTTAACTTATTTAGTAACGCCTGTTTTCACAAATGCTCCAAGGGACCTGACAGTGGAGGCTGGTCAGGATGTGCAGATTCCCTGCAGTGCTCGAGGCCAGCCGCAGCCGGTCCTCACCTGGAACAAGGTGAGGATCATTCGTTATTTTTTATTGGTGTTTCAATAGATTTTAGAGAGTTAGGTAATGACTTTATATCTGTGCCATTAGTGGAGAGTTGCTGTCCCATCCTTTATATGACAATAAGGAAACTATTTTATATGCTTTGTGCACCATTGCATAATTATGTCCAGTATTTTGATTAGGTGGGGGACAGCAGAAGAATAGCCCACTCAGGGTGTTTTAGATCCCTGATCCGTTCACATTCCATGTCTTTTTAGGATGGCGTACAGATAACAGAGAGCGGAAAGTTCCACATCAGTCCAGAAGGTTACCTTGAGGTGAAGGATGTTGGGACTGCAGATGCCGGACGCTATGAATGCGTCGCCCGTAACCCCATCGGCTATCAAGCTGCTAGAATGGTGCTTTCAGTCACAGGTAAAAAAAAAACAAAACATTTTGTCGCTGCATTTATTATTGAGCCAACATGATTGCAGTCTTATCCTGCCATGTTGTACATAAATATCAGAGGACATCGTCTAAGATATTATAAAAAGTCTTTATATGAAACATGGGGCATAGATAATTTTGTCTACCAAATCTAGAAATTCTATAAGCAATAGAAAAGTGCAGTGCTGTTGAATATTTAAAGTCATAGGGAAATCATATTTAAATTTCAAATGATTCTGGCTTAAACATGTATATAAATGTACTCTTTATCAGGCAATATTGTCCCAAAATGTAGAAAATTTCTATAAAAAAAAAAAAATCCTGTTAAAATCTGTGGGGTTTTTTTCTTTATCTTATGCAGGCCAGTTATTTGTATGTCAACTTGTACACCTAAATGCGGCCAATCATATATCAACGGTCATTTGTCAATCAAATTTTTTCGGTCATAGCATCTTGATTCATATGTTGCAGCTTATATATGCAACGGTTCAAATAAGAAATAAGAATCTTTTGCTTAACCATTGAGTTCCATCCCAGTGTTCACGGGGATGGACGTCTGTGCCTTCTGCAGGCGTAGAGCTAACAGAACTGGCAGGGTTGCGAGGCAAGGGCTCAAACATGTACGGCTGTAAGCCTTCTACACAAACCCAGATAATTTAATCTCCATGAAATTAATTGAATTAGCCATGTGGAATAATATACAGTCTATTGAAATAACATTATTCTTAAACATTAATGGCTCATTTAGATTCATATTTGCTTGACTCCTATACTTTATTTTAAGAAAAGGTTTATAACTAAAGCGTATAGAGTCCAAAATCATTATTACTTGTGTGAACATCGCCTGGTCTGACTTGATAATATAGCTGCTCAATTGTCCACCTATGGAAAGATCCAGGTATAGAAAATATCTTCCACTCATAATTTATATTTCTTACTGTCAACTGTTACATCAAAGAAATTGGAAATCGCATAAAACTTCTCTGGATGTATTGATGGCTAGCTTGCTTTCCTGCCCTGGAAGTTTGTTACCAAAAACATGTATCCTCCAGACCAGCAAACCAACAAAAACTCTCAAAAATAAAGGTACCTCACACATGCTGATATTGATATTTTAGTAACCAATTCATCAACGACCTAAATGTTATAACCACTCTTATGTCCTGTGGAAGCATTAAAATCTTTTTTTTTTCTTCTCCCCAACAGTCTGCATTTTGATTTAGATTTTTGAATAATTATGCTCGATTTTATGAAACATCTCTTTGGGTTTCTTAAGTTTAATTTTCTATTTGTGAGATAAACCTCATGTTAATGATCTTTAAGTCACATATAAAGTCAATCAGAGTTTACTGCTGACCTGTTAGATCCCTGCCTGCTACTTTGTGTGTGTGTTTTTTGTGCTGTGATGTATAAGGTCAGACCGAAGCTGCAGCTTCGTGAGCACATCCATAAAGCAATGCTCAGTTTGTAGCACAGAAGCATGACGGTATCAGGAAGGAACCTGACATTGTTGATCTCATTTATTCATTTACGTATTTATGAAAGAAAATCAGAAGAGAATAAATTACTTAGTTTTTTTTTTTTTCTACTTTTGGCCAGTGTTCCCTTTCAAATTCCACATTGATCTGTTTGTCTTTTTCTGTCAGTGCCTGCAATCAGCCGAGAGGGAGACACCTTTGTGAGCACCTCCATAGAGCAGGCCATCCGGAATGTTGACAGTGCTATTAACTCAACACGGAGACGTCTTTTTGATGGGTAGGACATGAGACACTCACACAGCAAATGCAAAAATTGCAAATACAAGGCTATTCAGATCCACTAGTGTAAGAGCTCTGGCTACATATGTTGGGTCGCTGTCCTGCTTCAAGGTGAGCTCAGCTCAGCTTTGTTCAGCTTCATCATCCCTGCTGAAGAAAAGATCTCTGATGGCATTTTGCTACCACCACCAAATAAGGATGGTGTGTTCAGGATAACATTCAGCGTCAGTTTTTTTTACCCAAACTTCAGTTTTAGTCTGAACTGACTTAAACACTCTCTTTTCCCAGGTCCGTATGTTCCCTGCATGGCTTCTGAAAAAAACAGCAATTTGGAGGGTTTAAAACTTTATACATTTTCAGAGATTCTGTGAAAAATGTCCAGGACGTCCCACGTCGTTCCAAGTTACACATACCAGCAGAGCTTAAAAATTCTTCTAATAAATACTCCCAACAATTTATTCCTGTAATCATCACAATCAAACATATTTTAGGTGCATAAAAAAGCTACTCCTTCTTAGATCAATGAGTTTTTCTCTGATGTGAGGCTCATCCAAAGAATCTCAGGATGATTTACCAACTGCTGGCCAGATGTTAGAGCACTGTTCCACTGGCTCAGACGTTGCTGTTATTGGGAAATAAATATCTCTTTAGATGTGTTTTTAACAAGGAGGGTAGTTAAGAGAGTGAGCTAAAACATCTTGCACCTCAACATGTATTTTTTTTTCCTATGGACATATATTTTAATAACTAAAAAGTTGGAAGTATACTAAGACCTGTTTTTTTTTCCTAACAGATTTAAAGAAATATAACTTGCAAATGAATGCCCTGGTGCATGAATCATCTAACCAAACCGTTAGCCAAAGTTGTTAGAAGTTGTGTTAAGAAAATGTGGCAAATGTTATCAGATCCACAAGCTTCATACGTCGTCATGGTTACATGTGAGGAGTGATGCATCGAATTTGTCAGCAAAACAAAACACTTAAATACAGCTGCAGAAAGAAGGATGTTTTTAAAGATAAAATACAGACATATGATTCATATGATAGCCCCACTTATGCAGTTAACTTTTTTTTTATATCCGATAAAGACAAAAACACACATAGAGTTTGGGTGTAGTTACTGCAAGCTAACATTGCTTTTGGAGTTTAACACTACAGTTTGCTAAATTCATGTTAGCCTTTCACTTTGATACCGGAAAACTGACCAATTTAAACAAAACAAAAAATATGAAACTTGTTTCCTGCTTTAGAGATTACATTTTCAAAAAAATAGTTTTCAGCTCATTAAGTATGAAAGTACCCCATCCAGGTGTCTTGTTATGGTACACATCTTAATTTCTATATTTGTCATGTTTCTTTGTCCTACTTGTATTTGTTTTTGTTCATGCATGACTGAAGTTCACATTCATATCAAAAGGTGATGACTTTTGAATCGATGTCTGCATCTATGAGGGATGGATATGACTCAAATTTGCCTTTAAGAAAGTTTCCATCCTGTTGAATGATGTGGTTAGCAGTTGTGCTTTTCTTGGCGCGTGCCCACGTACGTGCACGCCTGCCCTCTCACACAAACACTCACTCATATGAAAAGGAAACAAATCCACATCCATACAAACAGCCCTGTCATTGCTGCTGATGTGATGGGGGGGATTTCCAGCTTTGTTTAATGACAATCACAGGATAGGATACAGCTTTCTGCTTTGCTGTGGGTTATTCAGTCATTTGGAAACGAAGTGAAATCCCAGTGGGAATGCATGAGAAGGAAAGATGTGATGGCGTTTCTTAGCCTGACTCAGCAACATGTGCTCTGGAGGACTGATATATATACACGACAGACCCTGATCTTTCAGTAACAGGCTTCATCTGTGCAGCCAACATTATGCAGAGCATTGTTATAAGAAAAAAGGGAAAATATGTTGCTTTAAACCCCTTTTATGAATATAAATTTAAGATACACTTTTTCGATTAGTACACTGTTTACAATTCAGTGCAGAATAGTACCTTCAGAAGTCAACAAAGAAGTAAATAGAGCCCACCTGTATGTTCTTAGTCCAAGCTGAAACACAGCTGTTCTGTGAACGACCTAAAAGAAAACAGCTACGATGTCAGGGATAAGTCTTAAAGAGATGCAGAGATCCATGAAGCAGGCGGAAGGATTTGTTGACAGAAAAGCGGATAGCCATACACTCCACTAATCTGGTCTTTGTGTACAAAGAGGCAAGAAGTAAGCCATGATTGAAAGGCTACCATAATGACTCCCATTTTCAGTTTGCCACAAGCCATGTAAGGACAAAGCAAATATGTGGAAGTAAGTGCTCTGATTGGATGAAAGTATACTAACAGTTTGGTCCAAATGCATATGCTAAACCATCCTCATGAGGACACATGGTGGTGGCAGCAATGTGCTGAGGTATACTTTTTATAAGGAACTTAGGGAAGCTGATTGGTGTTGATGGTGTGATAGATTGACTTAAAAAGCTTGAAATAGGAATTTATAATAATGTAAAGCGTTAGGTTTTTATTAATGATGTTGCCACATGCATTCAGCCGAATGTGATTTTCTTTTACAAGAACACTGTTCTATTAAACCTGCTTGCTATAGTTTCTATACTAGGGCTCGACTTGTTAGCAAAGGATAATAAGGGTGATAATAATCAAATAATCTGCAACCCATCAAATGAGACAGGCTGCAAATTTGATATGATTGTTAAATGCTTTAAAATAAGAATGTTTTCTTACTATTGACCTATTGAAGGTTGGTGGTTTACCAGAGCACCAGTAAGCCTGCATTTTTTTGTTTTATTCATTTTTCCACCATAAGCTGCCTGGTAAACATAGGAAATAAATCAGCAGAGGTGAATAGAAGCAACAGCCTGGATTCTGCTGCAGAAATTCATTAAATAGATTTTATCAAAGGGGTTACGTTCAGTAAAGCATCTCTCATCTTTATACTTTTCTTTCTGTTTTTATTTGCTTCACAGGAGAAACAGCTTAGAATAAACTGTCTATCTGTCAGTTCTTAAAAGTCAGAGGAGCAGATATATATTTTTAAATTCTTGTTTTTTGTTTTTTTTTGTGTGCTAATACCAGCTTGTTCTCTCCCCTGCTTTTCCCACCATCCTCCCGCCCCTCTATGTCCCTCATCTCTCCAGTCAGCCTCGTAATCCAGGAGAGTTGCTTGCTCTTTTTCGATATCCACGTGATCCCTACACAGTGGAGCAGGCACGTGCCGGGGAGATCTTCGAGCAGACTCTCCTGCTCATTCAAAACCATGTCAACCAGGGTCTCATGGTCGACACCAATGGCACCGGTAAGGCTGCTGTTTTGCTTCTACATGCCAGACTGAGGTTTAAAAGTGTGTTTACATGTGCAACATGTTTTACAAAGCTTTTGCTAAATGTTTATACAGTCTGAATTAGGGCTAAAACAGATCATCTGATTAATCTTGATTAATTGATTATTGAAATAATCGTCATCCAATTTAGTAATCGTTAACTGGAGTATAGAGGCTCTAAAACATGCCTTTAGCTGACAGAGCAATCTACTTAGAGCCTTAATTATATGAGAATTGTAAAAAAAAATATTGTAACATTTTGCATTTAAGATAAAAAAAATGGGTTCTTCTGTTAAAATGCTCTATCTAGAACTCCTCAAGTGGAAAAGTTTTTGTTTCACCTGATTTATTTCGTAATAACTCTTTAATAAACCTTTGGCTATCCAATTATTAATTGAAAGAATAATCAACAGATTAAGCGATTTGCAAAGTTAGTTGCACAGCTAGTCTGAACTTTATTAGATTTTCTTAAATCTCAATCTTAGATTTGTTTTTATTAGCGTTTTATATAAAAGATTGGATAGTACTTTTTTTTATTTTATTTTAACCATCAATTATAGTTCCTCCTCTTTTAGTTGTATAAAAACTTGGAGCATCTTCAAGACCTGCCAGACAACATGTCTTTCTACTTTCATCTATTATAGAAGACTAGGAAATACATGTGTGCTGTAATTTTTCTGTATTCAGTTTTCTAATGAAGCAACGTGTGTCTGCAATTAGCTGTGCTAGATTTTTTTTAAGGGTGTAAGATTAAATAGGGCTGAAAAAAAACAGATCCTGGACAATGTTTTATTACTGAAAAAACTGTTTAAATGCACGTATCACACAGAGAACCGTAACTGTGGAGCAGTTGACAAGGAGCCTGTTATTAACGGATTTATTGGACCCAACGACATGCAGCTTAACATTTAACTATAATCACTGCAGAGCACTGGACAAAGTTTAACACAATCTGTGTTGCAACATTTAATTAGTCCCATGTGTGCTGGAAGAGTTGGGTGGAGCAGGGCGGGACTGAATGTTTACGCCATAAACATTCAATCTTTTTCTGCTCTGCTCTTGTTAGCATGGAGGAAAACTGAGGCAGGATTGTGGGTTTTGGTGTCTGGGAACATAAAGCACCTCTCCTAATGGGGGTTAAATATTACAGCACAAGGTGAAGGATGAAATGCAGTGAAAACACAGCATGTGTCATTTTATGGTTTTGGGGGCGTGCATTATATTTCTTGACTAGGTTGTTTTCTCAGAGAGGTATAAAGTAAATAGTACACAAGGGGAAAGGTAATAACATGTGATCAATCTTGTTTAAAATACTTAAAATGAAAAATATCTCCACAAAGCTGAAACAAAGGAACCTGTTTTCTCTACTTTGACTTCATCTTCAGAGGTCAGCAGCTCAGTTGCACAGTTAACATAGGAAAGCGCATACAAGAAAGTGTGGGAAATAAGCCATGAAAGTACTATTTTATACTGAGGTAAACTCACATTGAACTCATTGAAATCCACCCTTCCATCCATAGCATTCTAAAACAGATGACTCTAAAACTTGTTATAGAAAAAGTATAAAATGATGATAGATGATGTTCTCTGTATATCACCTTGAGATGTTAATAGATTTTTCACTTACTAGATATTTTTAATAATTTTCTGTCACTTAAATACTGAATATTTTAAACTAGGGATGTCCCAAAACAACTTTCTTCATGTATTGTTTTAAACCTTATGCCCCAAACTTACATTTCATTGCATATTTAGGCCTTTTTGTTGTTTTTGCTGTTACACAGAGAAAACTAAAACTCCGCTTGATATAATCCCTCTTACCTAGATAGAAAAAAACAAAATTACCAAGAAAATGTTACTGTTTATTTCGGATCTTTAGCTGTGTAGCCTCCTTTTAAAGTTGCTGAATTCCTATTTTGTTTTTCCAGCATTTCGCTACAACGATCTGGTTTCTCCCCGCTTTCTGGACATGATTGCTAATCTCTCGGGTTGCACAGCCCACCGGCGCAAGAACAACTGCTCAGACATTTGCTTCCACCAAAAGTATCGTAGCCATGATGGGACCTGCAACAACCTACAGCACCCCATGTGGGGCGCCTCTCACACTGCGTTTGAGCGCCTCCTGAAGCCAGTCTATGACAACGGCTTTAACGTGCCAAGAGGCACCACCGATAGGGTCCACAATGGATACAGATTGCCTCTTCCAAGGCTTGTGTCGACCACAATGATTGGAACGGAGACCATAACTCCTGATGACCGCTACACTCATATGCTAATGCAGTGGGGTCAGTTCTTGGACCACGACTTGGACTCCACAGTGGTGGCTCTGAGTCAAGGTCGGTTTTCTGATGGCCAACAATGTGCTCAGGTCTGCACAAACGACCCCCCGTGCTTTCCAATCCAGTTCCCACCCAATGACCAGCGGCAGCTACGAAGTGGCGCTCGTTGCATGTTCTTTGTACGTTCCAGTCCTGTGTGCGGCAGCGGGATGACGTCTCTGCTCATGAACAGCGTTTATCCGAGAGAGCAGATCAACCAGATCACCTCCTACATTGATGCTTCCAACGTTTACGGTAGTTCACGACATGAATCAGAGCAGATCCGTGACACTGCCAGCCACAGGGGGCTTCTTCGTCAGGGCATCATACAACGAACGGGGAAAGCTCTTCTTCCATTTGCCACTGGACCGCCCACAGAGTGCATGAGGGATGAAAACGAGAGTCCGATCCCTTGCTTTTTGGCTGGAGACCACCGTGCCAACGAGCAGCTTGGGTTGACGGCCATGCACACTGTGTGGTTTAGGGAGCACAACCGCATTGCAACAGAACTGCTAAGACTGAATCCCCACTGGGATGGGGACACCATCTACCACGAGACCAGGAAGATAGTGGGCGCTCAGATGCAGCACATCACCTATAGCCATTGGTTACCAAAGGTAGCTAGTTTTTTGCTGACTAATACACATATTTCAAACACACTAAAAAGTTGATGATGAGAAAATGTGTTTTCCCCTTCAGATTCTTGGAGAAGCAGGAATGAGGATTTTAGGGCCATACACCGGTTATGACCCCAACATCAACGCTGGAATCTTCAATGGGTTCGCCACTGCAGCTTTCCGCTTTGGACATACCCTCATCAACCCAATACTATACAGGCTAAATGAGCACTTTGAGCCTATCCCCCAGGGTCACATCTCCCTGCATCGGGCCTTCTTTTCCCCTTTCCGCATCGTAAATGAGGGAGGCATTGACCCACTCCTCCGTGGACTCTTTGGGGTTGCTGGCAAAATGCGTGTTTCCACTCAGCTGCTGAACACTGAGCTGACCGAAAAGTTATTCTCCATGGCCCACACTGTAGCCCTGGATCTGGCTGCCATGAATGTTCAGAGAGGAAGGGATCACGGCATACCGCCATACAATGACTACAGGACCTTTTGTAACTTCACCTCAGCTCAGACGTTTGATGACTTGAGAAATGAGATCAGAAACCCAGAGGTCAGAGAGAAACTACGAAGGTAACTGCCTCCTAGTTACACTCTGTTTAATGTCTAGATCATTTCTTTCCTAAATTAGGTCAAGTTTGGAATTTTTATTAATATCAAAAGTCAGGGCATTTGTTTTTTTTCACATTGCAAGAACAAGTTATGAACCTTTTTCAGTTCAGTTTATTTATATAGCACCAATTCACAACACATGTCATCTCAAGGCACTTTACAGAGGAAGTACTCGCAAATTAGTTAGGAAAAGCAGTTGATTGCATCCAGTCATTGACTTACTGGATGAGCCTGCAGCGAATATTGTTGCTTGCATTTTGTCCTTGACTCTTCAGCAATCCCTCACACCGAGTATGCAGTGGAGAAGGGAACTCCCTTTTAACAAGAAGAACCTCCATCAGGCTCAGTGCGTGCGCCCTTCCGCTGAGGCCGGCTGGGGTTTAAGGAGACAGAAGCAGACATACAGAAAGAAGCAGATATACAAAAGCTAACTGTTAAGTAGCTCCACAGGTGGCCCCGTCCAGGAAACAGACAACCAAACAGACAAGCTCCAATGCAATTCTGCTAGTCACAATAAAAAATTACAGGACTGCACTGGAAACAGGCCAAGCTCCAGCATCATTAAAGAGGTGTTGGTGGCAGCAGATTGATATTTCAGTCCAGGATGGAGTCACAGCCAAACAGGAGTAGATCAGAGGAGGCTTCTATGATGAAAAAAAAGCAGAGAGCATAAAGGTATGAGTGAAATTTAACAAATACTGCAGAAAAGGGGAATATAGATGGAATAAAGCAGATTAAGGAAAAGTGGTCCCTATGCCATCCAACAGCCAAAACATATAGCAGCACAAATACAGAAAATAGCTTTTGGATGAGGTATAACAAAGGGAGATCCCCAATAGGGCAAAAAGAAACATCTATCCGGACTAGTATTCTCCCTCGTCTGATAAAGCTGTTAACGCTCCACCTACCTCTCTACTTACCCAGCGACTAAGCAAACTTCAATCTGTTTTTAACTATAAGCTTTACCAAAAAGAAAAGTTTTAAGCCTAACTTTAAAAGTAGACAGGTAGTTTGCCTCACGGACTAAAACTGCTATTTGGTTTCACAGGAGTTTTTACATCTGTTTTACATCTGTGTTCTACTTGTTTAGTCATTAGTGGTTCTAATTGAAAAAAAAATATATATATTTGGGCATGTGCAGACCATTGTTTTTTTTGTTGTTGTTTTTTTAGGGGGTCAACAGCCCAACTTTTCATATACCGGTACTTTAATATCCTTTAATTAATACAGTTCCAATTACAACAGTTATCTTGCTGTCATTTACAGTTAAAACATTTCCAATTCATATCCAGATGTTTATAGTGAAGTCAGTTATTAAATGTAAACCTGAGGTAAATTTCCTATCACACATTTTTCTACAGCCTAACTTTGCTTATATCGATTTCAAGTTATTACAGTTTCGTTTCATAACTATATATAACAATGCATTATGTTTTTGCTATTTGGATAATTCAAAAATTGACTTATTTCATTAGAAACATTTTTAATAAAAAAATAGTTAAAATTAATTTAAAATAAGTTTCAGAGCTTTTCCTCTTACTTTAATTCTAAAGTATTGTTAAATCATCCCAGTTACGGAGCAGATCACAGTAAATTAGAGCTATATGTACTTCTCTTTTTCAACTTAAATCTTTCCTCTATTCATTTTAACTTAAAAAGATCCCTTAACTTTTAATTAGACGATATAATTATTCATATATAGACCATAGATCACATAATTGACACATGTAAAAGATAGCTGTCAGTGCTAAATAGCTTTTCAGCTAAATAAGATTTCCTTACATTATATTTCCAAATAAAGACAGCTTGATTACAAAGCTTGCACCCTAAACTACCTTTTATTGGTAATTTACTTACAGATGGTGAAGCATGCACCTAAATTTGCTTATAATAGCATATCCTCGTACCAAATTTGCAATTTGCATTTACTGCATTGTTTAATTTTCTAAGTATAAGATTTTTTTGTTTTTTCTGAGTAGCAATGATCAAAATTAGTTAAACAAAAACTTCTTTGTACTGATAGTAGAGTATTTTCACTCTTAAAGGCAAGCTGTATTATGTGGTAAGTGTAACTACTATTTGTTGCACTGACGGTTCTCCGTGTATGGCAGGCTGTACGGTACGCCTCTTAACATTGACCTGTTCCCGGCCCTGATGGCTGAAGACCTGGTTCCTGGCAGTAGATTGGGTCCCACCCTCATGTGTCTGCTTGCAACACAGTTCAAACGAGTCCGGGATGGAGACAGGTACATTTCTCAGGACATTTTTAAAGTCTATTACTCAACTTTTTATCTTTTATTCCTTTTAATCTATTACAGAAAGTAAACACAAAGCATTAGACTATATGAGGTTAACTAAAGAACAGGACAGACTTTTTTTTTTCTTCCATCTTACTCAAATCCAACCCCTTGTGTTTGGGTCTTGGTTAGGTTCTGGTATGAAAACCCGGGCGTGTTCACTCCTGCACAGCTCACTCAGCTTAAACAAGCCTCCTTAGCTCGGGTTGTGTGTGACAATGGGGACAACATCACCCGGGTCCAGCGGGATGTGTTCCTAGTGGCTGACCTGCCGCATGGCTATGGAAGCTGTGACGATGTTCCTCAGATCGACCTGCGTATGTGGCAGGACTGCTGTGAGGGTAAGACCAGCAAGAGTCACCAGTGTAGAACCTGAACCAGTTAAGTTGGGCTATTTATCAGAACCTAATATACTTTTTTTTTACTTTTTTTTATAGTTTCTTTAAGTAAAAGCTACTCAATCTTGGTAAAATTGGCAGTTTTTTTTCACTTGCAGGAAGATACAGTTATTTATATCTTAGAAATAGTCAATGAGAGCAGAATAGCTTGGGGAAATTTGTTGCAACACCTCAGACCATTGAAATTCTGCAATTTAATATTTTTATTACTAAAATCCAACAGGATGATGCATTCGGCAGAATTTCTTCAGTTTAAGCATTTTCATTATTTAATTGCATCTATTCGAAAAACTACATTTCACATAACAACTTAAAAGCCGAGATGTTCAAAAATCTAGCTTCAGACCATAGGGTGAGATTATCAGATTAGATTATTGTAGATTAGATTAGATTATTTTTTAAGGTATAAAACAAAGACAAAACAGAAAAAACGTCCTATTGAACTTGTTATTTTTGATTTATTGTTATGAACTGGACTTTGTCTGGAGGTAATCTTTGTCTCATTCTATCTTTTACTGTAAAAGAGAAATAAATTAGAGCCACTGAAGACCTAAACCTTTCTACAGCACTAGCAATTAATCATAGCTTAGTTTAGGAAGCAATTTTGAGATATTCTCAGGTATTCTGGCTCAACTCTACTTTACATACCAAGAACCAAAACCGAACATGGAGAAGCAGCTTTTAGTTCTAATGTTCCACAAATTTTGAATAAACTCCCAAAACCTATTAAAGCTCGGAAACCCTCAGTAGCTTTAAACTCCAAGTTAAAAACATTATTATTTAGATTAGACTTTGACTTTGCTCTCTAAACACAATTAGTTAAGTTTTTAGTCAAATTTCTCATTTTTTTTCCTTCTTCAAATCGATCATTTTATCTTTCTTATATAATCCTCTTATATTAAATATTCACCTTTATTCTCTTTAAATATTTGTGTTGTATTTATGTCGCTTCATTCTACATTTCTATTGCTTTTGTTTCCCTGTAGAGCATTTGAATTTTTTTCATAAATAAAATCCCATACCTGAAATTGATTTGCTGTCTTCAGCTTGCTTGTCCTAACATAATTGAACCTGTGTCCCATTAGACTGCAGAACCAAGGGCCAGTTCAATGCCCTGTCGTACCACTTCAGAGGACGAAGATCAGCTGAACACAGCTACAAGAAGGAGAAACCTGCCAATAGCATCCAGGAGACGAGGTAGCAAATACAAATTTGTCATCTTTGCTCAAAGATCTGAGACAATCTGAGAAAAAAAAAATCTTTTTGAATTAATCTTTTTTATTATGTCTGTATTTGCCTTTGCAGTCCACTGAAAGATGCAAAAAACAGTCTTTCAAATGTAACGTTGAGCAAAACAAGCAGTGAACCTTCGGTCAACGACTTCCAGGAGTTTGTCTCAGACATGCAGAAGACTATCTCAAGCTTACGGAAACAGGTGGGTTTGGTTTCCAACAGAGATTAGGTTAAAATAAGCCTTCATAATGCAGAAAATCCAACAACTACAGCTTTCTAATGCAAAGATTTCTCAGAACATGAAGCTCACTTTTGCTGTCTTATATCTGCAATATTTAGTACATAGAAGGATGCAAGACAGAAAAGTCTAACATAAAACAGCTTTAAACCTGCCTGAATTGAAATGAAGTGATACGAGTTGCAAACTTAAACTTATCAAATGTAAGCCTTTATTGGAAACACTTAAACAAGCTTTCTAAGTCTCTCCTTAATATGGATAACTATTTTCCTGCAAAGGTTCAGTTATTATTGGATGTATTTGATTAATGTTGAACTGAACATATCATTTTGCTTTGCATTTAGGCTCTTTTCAAACTTCTGAAACCTTCAAAAGAAATAAAGTCCCTTTAAAGACAGGACTCCCTGTAGCACAGTTGTTTTACCATGGATTTATTAGAAGTCATGCAATGATTATGGCTTGTTTGCAAAACAGAATTGGCTATAAAATGTATTGTCTTGACTGAAATATACAGCTAAGAGGAGACTTAAGTCTTCTTTCAGCACACATTACTGTGGTTTGCTGTTGTTGTTTGCAACACTGCTGTAAATTAATTTTAATTATTTGCGAATAAGATTTTAAAGTGAAAGTAAATGATAGTTTTTAAAGGGAAAACCTGTTAAACTCTCTTGACCATGTAAAGGAAAGCTCTGTATTTACACCTTTAAGCTTTCAATCTGTGATTCCTTCCTGAGAAGAGATAAGTCTAAAGAAACCCTTTAAAAACACTTCATAATGTATATGTATAAGATAACTATGAGAAGCGGCAACAGATGTGGACAGAAATTGTACAGTCATCTTATTCAGACCTGAGACTCCAAACACAGAAGAAGAAGCATTTTATACACACAACCATCAACATCATCACATTATTACATCATACATGTTTGTAAATGAAAATTTATCCATTGCTTCAACCATATAAAAATTTTACACTAAGTTCTTAGACGATTCTCTGATGAAGATTCCCAAATCTTTGTTCTTCAAAATGAAGATGACGTTTTTATCCTGACAGAACAACTGTCCTAATTAGATCAACCACTTAGACATTAAACAGACAGTTATTATTTGGGTTTTACAGACTCATACATCATCAATACAAATAATCCTAACAACGACAATGCATTTATAATTTTCTTCTTTCTGAAATCTACCAAATCTGTCTAATTTGTTTTATTTATTTATCTTACCACATATATTTGTCACAGTTACAGTTTGCTTCTTGTATTTTCTTGCAGATTAAAAGACTGGAGGCTCGACTGCACAAGTCCGTCTGCACTGACAGCGAGGGGCGGGAGCGATCAGATGGAGAGCGCTGGCGAAAGGACTCGTGCTCGTCTTGTGAATGCAGAGTGAGTTTACCTTAATGTACATCACCATGCACTTTATATTGATGGTGTTAAAGTGTCTGTGTTTTGCACTGATAAACTTCCAGTGTGTAGTTGACACACTCATAATACAGCTCCCTCTTAAAAACAAAAAACTAATTGCTAGCAAACGCTTTTCTTTAAAACCATCTTACCAAGCTTACTTAATATTTGCTCTGCACAGCTGATGAATACATAACTTAGCATTTTACTCCACTTTATCTTGAATTTAGATGCTTTTTTACTTTTTTTCCCAAAAATAGTACTATCAAACTTTTAGTCTAAAAGCCTTTTTTTAATGCTCATGTTTAGTTTCATATTTAACTCAAATATCTAACAATAGTGTTAAATGAGTTTGTAGTCCTCGTCCCTGATTAAATACGTATACACACAACTGCAATGAATGCAGCTCTTAAGCTCCTGTCACACCTTGAAGATTTAGTCAAATGCCTTACGTACGGAAAATCTGGCAAAAACGCTGGCATATGTTGGAGAAGTTATGGGTAAGTTTTATATAAGTTATGAGCACGCTGAAACAGGCTGGCACATGTCGACATACAGGAAGTGCGTTGAGAAATTTTAAGCATGCTCAATATTTCCCGACGTATGCCAGGGTGTGCCATACGTGGGCCATAAGTTGATCGTTGACATATGTTAAGTGTAAGTTACTCACAAGTCGTGGCGTCTAGCTTATCCAAAACCTATGCGCAACTTATCAAGAACTTATCTCCAACGTATATCAATATATTTTAATTAAAGGTATTATAGTGAAGAACTTGTTTGTTGAAGAGAAGATTTTATATGGATGAAATACATGCTGGAAATTTCTGCGCATCCTCTTCATGATGTGCTGGTCACCCACAGAAACACCTTCAGTCAGAGGCTCATTTCATCAGGCTGCACCACAGAGCACCACAGGAAGTCATTCCTCCCTGTGGCCATCAAACTGTATGATTAATCTTTCTGACAGTCATGACTTATTATTTCTTTATTTCATTACTTCACTATGTGTAATAGCACTGTCATGTGCAATAATTGTAATTTGGTCCTGAGCAGCATTTGTACATTGTAAATATTGTCTATTATATATACTTAGATCCTTATTTTATTCTGATCCTTTTTTTATTCTTATATCCTACTTGTACTTACAATCTTATTTTTGCTGATGAAGATTTTCAGTCATCCAGGTCATAGTCATTCCGTAAAAGTAAAAAAAAAAAAAACGCTGGACCCGGTTTCCAAGATCTGAAGACGTTTCGCCACCTCTCCAGGAAGCTTTCTCAATTCAAATGTCAAATGACATCTTATTTTTCTCTCTTCTGTAAACGTTTGCACTGGAAGAAAATAATTTCCAGCAAGGGATAAATAACGTATTTCCGATTCTGATTATAAACAATGCTGTTATAAAGCTGTTTAGCTAGATCTTTTTAATGTATTTATTGACTTGTTGTTCCCTCTGATGCCTAACCCCAGGACGCCCAGGTGACCTGCTTCGTCGAGACATGTGCCACTCCCGTTTGCAAAGACCCCATCAAGCTAAAAGGTACCTGCTGCCCGGTGTGCTTGGAGCAGGACGATGGTGACAAAAGGCAAAGAGCAGAAACTCGCCACATGTAACTTTTCAGGACCCTTCATCAACCTTCCAACCTGACAATCTAGTGTCTGAAAACCACAGATAATCAGAACAATCAAGAGAGAAGATGGGACTGATTCATAGCCACATATGACCTCGACAAACCCAGCAGCCTCTTTGGCTTTTTTTTTGTTTGTTTTTTTTTTAATCAGGGGAGCATTTTCTTTGCTGTTGTTCTTGTGGCTATTTAATTTTTTCCAGTTTGTCCAGGGCCAAGAGCCCAGGGCTCAGTTTGAGCCCGTAAGCAATAAGTCATCAGGCACTCCATGGATTTACTTATGTAGCAGTAAACAGATGATTGGTTTTTCATAAACAGGATGGACAAAAACTGTCCTAGCGCACTGAGGTGCTGTTTGCTCTCGATGAGAAAATAAAGTAACCGGTCGCCTTTGAAAGGCAGGAAAGGGAAGTGGGTGGAAAGGCGGCAGATGTCTCACAAATTTTTCTCAGGTTAGAGATGCCGAAAACTGGTGCTATTTCCCTGTTTCTACTCCGAGTTTCTCTCTAAATACAAACCTTAAAGTATTATCTTTTGTATGCAAAGCCACATATATTCACTTGATATGTCTTGAGTGGATTTTTTTATTCAGTGACATTTAAATAATAGTTACCTTTTTATTCCCTGGTGCTTAACTTTTTGTACTTTTACCCGTTTTCTATGTACATGCTTACATGTGAAGATAATGTGAAGCCCTGCAAAAAATGTTTGTAATGTAAAAGAAACATGTCTACTGATACCTGCTTTTTTACATATGGGATAACACAGTTTGTCTCTGCAAGGCGCTCCTGGCCCTCAAGTAAGGTGGAGCTGGGAGATGCTCCTCTGTGCAGGAAACTGATGCAACTCCAGCAGCACTGTCCTCTTTAACTGCACAGGTCCATCTTAGTAAATTAGACTGAATTTATTTCATAGGTGGAAAAAATTGTTGTTGAATTTGGTGAATATGGCCTACACCTAATTAAAAACAAATCTGCTTTTTGGAACATTTTAATCCTAGATATGACAAATAAAACAGGTTTTTATATACAGACTTGGAATTGGATTGGGAATCTGTTTCAATAATTACTGCATCAACTGAGACATACAGGCTGTCAAAGTATACAGTACTGTATAGGAAGTCAGGGTTGATTTTACTGGGCCCTCACCTCGTTTATATTAGCGGCTCTTGTATTTTGTAAAATTTAGTTAAAATAGTCAACCAGTGAATCAATGAGAGGTAATTATTGGTATTATTGGCAGTATAGGCTAACCTGGCAGTAGCCAGATTGATATGTGTAGAACTGAGTTGAGTTCTACGTTATCTATGTAGGATGGCTGCTGTTGAGTCTGTCCGTGAAAAGGAGGGAAGTTTAGTACAATACTTGGAGCTGATTGAGTGACATGCCAGCTAGTACCCGCCTTCCATAATAGGCTTTAGCCAGTAGTAGCAGCCAAACGTGACGTTTTGTTGGCAGCCAATTTAAACTTTTTCCAAATCCTGTCAGAAGAAAAGCACAGGCATCTTTCGCATCTACAAATGCACTAAGTGCTTCTCTTTGCTCCTTTTTTAAATGAGAAATTGTCGCTATTTTAACTAAAACGGAGTCAATTGTAATATTGACAGGTGAGTGCTCCAGCGTAGCCATGTTTGTAATGCCAAATGCACCAAAAAACCCTGTTGGCATGCAATTGGTCTGACTCCATGTTTGTTACCTGACGGATGTATTAGCGGGAGTTTTTCATGATGGATTTGTTGTGAGACTGAAAACTCAGATCTCGCGATAATCCAGCTTGCAGCGCAAGGTTAAGTATGGGCAGATGTCATGTTGAAAATGTCAGGAAAGATCGCCGCATGGATTTTGACCTTGCTGGAAAAGGAAATGAGCATCTCCATAGAGCTTCTCAGCAGAAGGTGCTCAGAAATGTCCTGATACATAGATGGCTTCATTGACAGCGGACTCCAGATAAATGAATGTGGACAAACTTTAAAATAGGATGCCAAATTTGCGTTAATCCAAAAACTGCACTATGAACCCCTGAGCAATAACCTAGCTCTTTTACACTTTTGTACAGGTGAGATGCTTTTGGCATTGCCTCTCATTCAGGAGTGGCTATAATGTAATAAATGCAACATCTGAAGTTTCTAGTGCTCTTATCTTATCATCTAATTATCCAGCTTTCCATTAATTTGCTTGAATACAGAACTGAGAACTGCCAGATCCCTTTGTGAAAACATTTTGTGACTTACACTCTTTGTTACTGAGTATTTTCCACCATCAAGTCAGCAACAAGCACAATAATTAAGCACTGAAAATACAGTATTTTTCATTGTTCAGTTAGGTTTTCATCCCATGACACACGTTTTACACTTGTCCAACTTTTCATTTAAATAGCATTAGCGCAACAAAATGTATTTGTCAACTATTTTAAAAACAATAAACTCTTACTCATGACATAAAAAGAAACAATTAAAAAAAATGACAGTGTTTGGAATTGATAGTATTTGGAAATAAAGGTTTTGTGTTTTATGTGAGGGGAGTAGTTGTATTCATATAGTTTGAATATGAGAGATGCATGACCAACAAGACTGATGAATTTTGGAATATTTTTTATTGTGGATTTATTATCACACAACATTGCAGTTATATTTTTTTACATTCATTTATCACATTCATCTCTAACTGTAAGCCATAGTCATCAAAATGAACTATAAATTCATGTGTTTTTGATTTAAATAACCAAAACATTTGACTGGTCAGTGATATTCTAATTGTTTGAGATGCGCCTGTGTTTGTGCTTCCAGAAAGAACTGAATCAACATAACTTTTTTAAATTGTGAAATGTCTCACAATGTTTTGCTATAACTCCTTCCATTACGAAATTAGAATTTATACCAACCGGTGTATGAAAGTTGGATGCAGCCTTTGATAGCAACTGCTAAATTTGCCACGGCAGTATTAACTTTTGTTTAGTCTCAACTGAAGGTCTCTCTCTGTTTCTTTGGTGCTCCGGTTTATACTAATTCTTGCATGCTTTTGTTTTTAACTCCCCCTCCTTCTTTTTTTTCTAATTTCTCTAAAAGGACAGTTTTTGGTGTGAGGAAGGCTGACCCTGCTCTTGTTTTCTTGCCATGTTAAAGATTTTTTTTAGTCTGAATTGACGTCATTTAGTTGAGATCAGACTCTCTCCTCCCCCCCCAGCCCTATGACCCTCATTCCACTGTAATAGAAGCCATATGAGAGGGGGAGTGAGGGTGATGATGGGGGAAGGGAGCTTATGATTGGGCCTCACATATATTTTGTACATATACAAATACCACTCACTGTTCACTGCACTGGCTTGCATCGTTTAATTGTGTTGTACTTGGAAGTGCTTCTGCAACATTTGTCATTGAACAGATATCATACTCTTTTATTTTAAAGGTTTCAGATGAAATGGGGCTTCAGTCACACTGGTATTGTATGCTTGCACATGTTTGTGTGTTTACAGTTGCTTACTGCAGCAACAGGCTAAATGCATTTTTTTTTTGGCAAGGGTGCCAAAATTCTCCTTCACCAGTGAGCTTCGCAGTATATCTGTTTTATTGGGTTATTTTTATTTCTACCCATTGAAAAGGTTCCAGGCATCAATGGAATGCACTGCCCTGCAAGATTGGACATGCTTTACCTACACTGTCTCTGCACCCAGAGGTCAACGAGGACATACTAGAACCCATCAGGGCAGTCTTCTTGTACTTTTACCAAAGAGTGGTTTGCACTGTAATGTATGAATTTCAGTGACAATAAAAAAGTTACACGCTATAATTTCAGTGTAGCTGCTTGTTCTTTTGCATACATGTGCTTTGCAGGACCTTAAAGTAGGAAAAGAAGGTTATTTTTATCTAAAGATGAAATGTGTTAGTAAAAATTTATCTGTTGGTCCTTCTTTGAATAAATAAAGATTTACCGTGTAAAGTTGGTTAAATCTGTATTTCTGTAGATCTGTTTAATTTTTTTTTTTTTTTAGTAATACGTTAATTTGTAACATTAGATCCCAAACCAAACTTTAAGCAGTAGACACTGCCTATTGTGCCCCTAAGACATTTCTTTTGTGGTTTTAGTCTTTTACACCCAACTATCCACCTACAAACAGTTGTTATCTACGGCAGAGCATCTCAAACGTGTTGTTCGAACAAACTTTGTTTTGTACCCCATCATGACAACAATTTAAAGTCATTTTCTATATTTTACACATCATGTATTGTTAAATAATTCAGGTAATAATATATAACTACCAGTAGGAAGATTTTAATAGCTATATCGGTTTAATTTGGTGGAGTAAACGGGTCTAATGGAAATAGGATGCAATATAAAAATATGGTTGAAAAAAACCAGCGTATCAAAGATTAATATCAAGGCTGAGTAAATATAAGAAAATGTCTCTATATAAAAGAAGCTATCTGCAGTATGCCGACCCTAACCTGACCTTATGGGAAAAAAACTGTTTTAATGCAGCTAAACTGGAACATTTTCACTAATAAAAAGGCTCTGCCCTTCTCTGATGCTACGTCCTCCACCCACCTTAACTGGTGTTGGTGCCTTTGTACAGCATCCTCTCTTCTATCAGTCTTCCCTTCGGCAGCTGTGTCTACCATGTAGAATGCCACAACCATGCTTCTCTGTAGGATTCTTGGACTTTATAAATTCCTATATGAGTACAGGCCAAATAGCCTGTTTAAGGTCATAGGTCAGCATCTTCATGTATTTTAAAGGTAAAGAGGACGATGTTTTATTTCCAGGTGGATCATCTAAATAAGTAGTCCTCCTAATTGTCAATCATTCTGGTGATGTGTTTACGTAAGCCATCCTCGTTATCTTTTTCTGAGCATGCACACTTTCAGGCGTATATCTGTGGTGTGCTATGATTTCAGATAGTCATTGAAGCTCACCTTTCTCACTGCGGTTCTTTAAAAATGGCCGAGGGTTTATGAGAAGAAAAGAAAGGCCTCAGAAGAGACAGATATACTGTATCCCGGAATGCTGTGCGCAGAGAGCTCACCTCGCAAAGCATTATGGGATTTGCTGTCACAGTGATAAAGATGGTGCACGCACCGAGTGGTGGAGGAGGAGTTGCGTGACCAGCAGGGAGCAAAAAGTAGTGATTGTCTGTCTGAATGGTCAGTTAACTGAGTTCACTACAAAGTTTACTATATAGTCCCCGCTCTATATAGTGATTGAAGGATTTAGGGGTTAGGGCGGACGTTCGGACACAGTAAGCTTCTATGAGCTATGAGAACATCAACTTTTAAACAGAGTGTGCATGAGGAGAAATGAGCTTGTGCACGCTCTGCACACATTTAATAGGCGCACCCTCTCGGGAACGGGTACAGGGTTGTGCATGTGCATTTTTTTATCTTTCAAAAAAAATCACGAAAATTCTCCACAATATCTTTAAGTCCAAACTCTTGCTAAACCTTTTGCAATGTTTTCATTTTATACAGTTTTTTGTTTAATCTTTTTTAGTCATTCGGGTTGTTGGAGTGCTTTGGATCAATGTCCTACTGAATTACTCAAGTAGGCCTGAGCAACAGAATATCTTCCAGCAGAACTCAGCTGTCCAAAAGTGTAGTTAATCAATAAAGGGGTCAATATGTTTACATAAGATTTGAAAAACTTTTATAACATTTTAAAAAGATATCCTTAATCAAAACTGCATTTTTTAAATGCTTTTCAAAAGTTCTTATACAAATAAAGATCCGCCTCAGGAAATGTAACATTCATGAAGAAGAAAGCTGTGTCCAGGTTTAGTATTGAAAATAAACTGGAATTATAAGAAACAAACATTCCTTAAACTGTAAGTTTTATTTGCTGTAAGGTATATACATTTAAAAAAAAGCTGAAAACTTGATCTGCTGGTTGGGTATTTCTATGATTCATTGTTTTTACCTTTTAATGAGATACATATTTCTCACAAGACTGATTCCAGCACAAAATACAGTATGGCCACTGAAACGTTTTTAATCTGAGTGCTGTGTGAAAGTATTACACAACTTGAATCTCATTCGTCTAAATT